GCTCTTCCTATCTGTGTGGCCTTGGCAGGTGCCCAGTGTTCCTATCTGTAAAATGGAGATCGTAATAGCACCTCATGGCATTGTTGTGACAATTAAAGAGTGACAGCTATTACATGTAAGTGCATAATCAGTGTTAACTATGATTATCAGTATTGTTGTTATTACTGAGAGGTGATAGAGTATCTTGGTTTCCAAGATGGTACATTCTTGAGGGATTTTCCAGGGAAACTTAGTTAACTCCTTTCTACCTTCAGCTTGTACTTTAGAACCCAATACCAGTGTGTGATATGATTCTACTGTACCATACTCGTTTCTGTATCTGGTCCTTGGTCTTTTCGTGAGCTGACCATCAGTTGTGGCTCATTGTGGAATGGTTGTATGGCACAGAACACAGACATTTGTGGTGGTGGGGCAAGATGTATTACCACAGAAGCAATGTAGATGTGCAGAGACCCTGAAATATGTTTAATATATATAAGTACACATTTCCAGCCATCGGCATTTTCCTGTGTTCAAAGTTCCGTTGAGTCTTTTTAAGATCAGTGCAGCCCTTATGCTTCTGTCCTTTGCTTTTCTCTAGAAAATGATTGGAGCCTATATTGTAGAACAGTATCTACGCTGTCACTGGCCCCATGGTGCTGCCTGTGGGTGCTTTATTGTAGGGTGCAGTGCTCTGGTGTTTTATGGATCTACTATCTTCTCCAAGCCCATGGATTTCCCATGCACTGCTGATTGTTACCTTTGGAGAATTTTGGAGAACTTTTTAGGTGGCTGTTTGCCGTTTCACCTTCCACACACACAGGCACAGACTCTCATATTTACCTTCCGGTACTATGGGGATTGAGACCCTATTGTTGTCCCTGACCTCGTCCCCATCCACTCTTTGTCTCTCAGGAAAGCTGCTCTTTGTTTTCAGCTGTGACTGCGGAGCGCTGAGGCACACACAGCTATTTGCCACTGTGCTATCATCAGCAGCTCATCTCCACTGCCAGAATGTCAGAACCTCCCTCTGACCCTGCCATGCTGACAGCTACTGCTTCCACTGGGGGACTGCTGGTGTCAACTAAGCTTTTGTTTGCTTCTCTCTGCTTTTCTTTTTCCCCATCTTTCCCATCTTCTGTAACTTCTTGGCTTTTGCTCAGGAAATGAGCTCTATCTTTCTGCCCTGTGAGCAGATAGATAAAAAGTGAATGGGTTTTATTGTTGAGCTTTTCTTGGCCGTGTTATTTGAGGCTCGGGCACCTGAGCCTGTTTCATGCATCTACCACCAAAAGTGGGGTTTGCATAGGGATTAGAATGATTTAGCCCTCACTAGGCTCAGTGCCTGGGAGGTGAGAGATTGGTCTTTTTTTTTCTTTTTTTTAAAGTTGTCTCCTACAGCTCACTGATTGATGTTGTGTTCATCTATGTATTTATTTATTTGGTTGCATGGGGTCTTAGTTGCGGCCAGCGGGCTCCTTAGTTGTGGCAGGTGGGCTCCTTAGTTGCGGCTCACCAGCTCCTTAGTTGTAGCATGTGAACTCTTAGTTGCGGCATGCATGTGGGATCTAGTTCCCTGACCAGGGATTGAACCCAGGCCCCCTGCATTGGGAGCTTAGAGTCTTAACCACTGCGCCAGCAGGGAAGTCCCGAGAGATTGGTCTTTGAATAGAAGAGGTTATGATCTACTGTTCCATGTCCATGACTTAGAACAAGGGAAATAAAAGTTTAATGAATTCTGGTTTAAGGGGATTTGTGTAGTGTGTCTAAACAGCTTTGGAATGTGCCAACATTTAATATGTCATAGTAGTGATGAACAATTATAGTGCACTTGTGTATTACGAATTGAGGAATCTTGAAAAAGTTACGAATATCCAGATGGCTCATTAGATTTTATCTTTCAAGTTATAAATATTCTAAAATGTTAACACCATCTCATTTTTGTGCTTTTTTTCCCTTTCTTCCTAGAATATTTTCCTTCTTGGATATAGTAACTTTGTGCCGATGTGCACAGATTTCCAAGGTAGAGTATTAACCAGATTTGTAATCAAGAAATACAAATTTGATTAGAATGAGGATGAGTTCAAGTTAAAAGTTAAAATGTCATCTTTTATATGTAACATAACACAATGTTATCATAATTCCACATTTGATTATCAGCTTAATGTCTATCATGAATAAACATTTGGAAGTATAAAGGTTGAATCAAGACTTTCTTTAACAGTCGCAGTAAATGTATCTTTTTCACCCTAATCTCTCCCAACCTCCCAGGCTTGGAATATCTTAGCCCTAGATGGAAGCAACTGGCAAAGAATAGACCTTTTTAACTTTCAAACAGATGTAGAGGTAAGTTAACCTTGTTTTAGACAAAAGACTTTTTTTAAAAAAAAGTAAACTGCTCACCCTTTCCTGCCTTTTTATTTTGCTGCATTTAGATTTAATATGAAGGTGCCAAGGTGGAATAGAGAGGAAAAAAACTTGGAAGATATTTGCCTACTTCAAGACGAAAATTCTGTTTGCATTTTACTTTTTACTTTTATCAGTAACAGACTTTTACTTTTCCCCCTTGATCATGTTTATAATCTAAGTTTTACCACTCAGCTTTTCAAAGCCTCACACCTGTATCATTAACACCTGGTTCAATGCTTATCTTAGGAGACTCTTGACAAATATTTATTGATCTGAAAACTCCATTGAGAATTCTAATTCAGCATTAGGAATGGAGAAATGGCAGAAGCAGGGACTCGGGAATGAGGCTGGAATTATGAGATATAACTCCAGCTCAGCCACTTAAGACATTTACTCTCTTAGTGCCTCAGTTTTATTATTTATAAAATGAAGAAGTGAAATAATCCTTAGAGCCTTTATAATTACAGGATTCTGGTTGTATTTATCTGGAAATATGTAAATATCCTCATTTAAGAGTGGTAAACCAGGTCAAATGAGAAAAGTTTATTTTAAAACAACTTTAATATTAAATACCAATTTATAACCAAAAAGAAACAGGGAAGTAATAAAGAGCATTGTGTACATAGTAATTGTTGGGAGTGCTGTTTTAAGGGTCTGGGGATGTTGAAGTTCATTATCTACCCAATGTTAGTAAAACCTTATTGATTTCTAGTTTAGCCAACTCAGTTACAATTGTATTTTTTTTTTTTTTTTTTTTTTTTTTTCTTGCGTTATGCGGGCCTCTCACTGCTGTGGCCTCTCCTATTGCGGAGCACAGGCTCCGGACGCGCAGGCTCAGCGGCCATGGCTCACGGGCCCAGCCGCTCCATGGCATGGGGGATCTTCCCGGACCGGGGCACAAACCCGCGTCCCCTGCATCGGCAGGCGGACTCTCAACCACTGCGCCACCAGGGAAGCCCTGGAATTGGTATTTTAATTCAGTTACTCAATGTAGCATGTTTATTACTTGTTTTTATTGAAGTATATGCTCTGTATCTTTTTTAATGGATAAGGAAATGAATGAGTTTAACAGTGAGATGGGCCCAAACAATTTCCTGTGACTCACTTGAGCTGGTGTTACCTACAAGAACTAATGGCCAGTGGTGGAGGCCCTTCACCTCCTTCTCTAGGTTACTTGCTGCTTGCCAGGCTCTGTTCCCATCTCAGACCAGTGGAGCAGAAGCCCCTATAGGAGGTGGGGCTGAGCACAGCATTTCCCACTGCTCAGGTTGCCGTGCTCTGAGCTTGGAAGCTGGCAGGGGCCTCAGGGCTTCCCATGCTCCCTGGAAAGATAAGCTCTAGCTCCTGGCTTGGACTCTGGTCCCTGAATCGGGAATTCTTTAATGCTCTTTCCAGACTTCACGATTGCAACAGTGCCCTACCCAAACATGCTGACATGTAATTCCCCTTCAAACTGATAATCTGTAGTTCATGGTTCATTGTGTTACTTAGTGATGTTGAGGAGAACATTAAATTCCAAAAATTGTGGTCATTTCTTCTGGCCAAAGAGTCATTGTTTTTAAAAAATTAAAAAAAATTTTTTTTTCTGTGGTTTTTTAATTGTCTCCTCAGTTTTCTTTGATGATTTTTCCAAACTGCAACTTTTTGGAATGCACATAAAAAACTTTTAAATTCAGATATTAAAAAATACTATTTCAGGACTTCCCTGGTGGTCCAGTGGTTCAGACCCCATGCGGGTTTGATCCTTGGTCGGGGAGCTAAGATCCTGCAAGCCGCGCAGTGCAGTGCGGTCAAAAATATATATATATATTTTAAGTAAATGTCATTACCTTGTGCATTATTTGATTTCACAATTTTAGCTGACTGCTGACTACAGCTATATAAACACATTGCAGATGTACTTGAGTACTTCCACCAACGACAGACCAGTTTATGGTTTACCAGTTATGTAGAGAACTACATGTGAAAAATATAGTCTAATACTATTTAGTTCCCCCTTTGGGCTATCACTTTGAATCCAGGTTGATTCTGAACCAAGTGTGGGGCCTCCCATAGACACTAACAGGACCCTCTGGATGCTTATACTGGGAAGCATCCCATGGATAAACTCATGGTCTCAAATTCATTTCTTTGGGACGAAAATGGTGATTTATGGATCTGTTGAGAGAAGGGAAAAGGTGCCAAGGCTCAGGACTGAGAGTATTTACGGTGTGTCGGGCACTCTTCTGAGCACTTTTTGTATATTAATTAATTTAATCCTCTCAAAAACACCATGCTGAAGAAACTGAGGCACAAAAAGTTTGAGTAACTTACCTGAGGTCACTCACCTAGTAAGAGAGAGTAGGTACCTTGAAGAGTGGGTTTCATGACTTGAATTTCAAAGAAAAGGCAGAGTGGCACATGCAGGTGACTAATGTGCATTGGGCCTCTCCTTGAGCATCACTCTCCCCTAAGTAAACATCAGGTTTCCCTGATGTTTAGGCATTTTCCATCCCTTTAAAAGTTGAACATTTTGTTGTTAGTCTTCATGGTCATTAAAGATTCTGTGAGCCCCAAAATGAGAAATAACCAAGTAGTATGTTATCTAAAACTCAAAAGTCCAAGGGTCTCTCCATTAGGCCTTATTTTTCTGTAAAGCCCTTCTTTCTAAAATGCATACCTACAACATACTGTCTAATAGATGTTACACAGTGTCATTTGCATTTGAAAAGGATTTACTCATTCTTTTTTTCTTAGTTGGAAACAGTGGAACAGAAAATTCTGAATGTAATTTTTTTATTCCAGTACAAAAACTTTTACTCCAAAAAAGGAATAGGAAGTTTGTATAAACGTGACTAACTTGAAATGGAGAAGAAAGATGGTGTGCTCTATTTGTAGACATTGGTGTGGAGTTGTTTTTGCTGTTTTATTTAGTACTTAAATATTTATCTTGGATTTCCAAGTCATAATGTTTTTCCTCCCACTGACAGAAATTTATTTTACAGGTGTCTGGAGTGTTGGTTCAAAAACTAATATTTCTTTTTTCTTTTTTCTTTTTTTTTGGTACGCGGGCCTCTCACTGTTGTGGCCTCTCCCGTTGTGGAGCACAGGCTCCGGATACGCAGGCTCAGCGGCCATGGCTCATGGGCCCAGCCGCTCCGCGGCATGTGGGATCTTCCCGGACTGGGGCACGAACCCGCGTCCCCTGCATCGGCAGGCGGACTCTCAACCACTGCGCCACCAGGGAAGCCCTGGAATTGGTATTTTAATTCAGTTACTCAATGTAGCATGTTTATTACTTGTTTTTATTGAAGTATATGCTCTGTATCTTTTTTAATGGATAAGGAAATGAATGAGTTTAACAGTGAGATGGGCCCAAACAATTTCCTGTGACTCACTTGAGCTGGTGTTACCTACAAGAACTAATGGCCAGTGGTGGAGGCCCTTCACCTCCTTCTCTAGGTTACTTGCTGCTTGCCAGGCTCTGTTCCCATCTCAGACCAGTGGAGCAGAAGCCCCTATAGGAGGTGGGGCTGAGCACAGCATTTCCCACTGCTCAGGTTGCCGTGCTCTGAGCTTGGAAGCTGGCAGGGGCCTCAGGGCTTCCCATGCTCCCTGGAAAGATAAGCTCTAGCTCCTGGCTTGGACTCTGGTCCCTGAATCGGGAATTCTTTAATGCTCTTTCCAGACTTCACGATTGCAACAGTGCCCTACCCAAACATGCTGACATGTAATTCCCCTTCAAACTGATAATCTGTAGTTCATGGTTCATTGTGTTACTTAGTGATGTTGAGGAGAACATTAAATTCCAAAAATTGTGGTCATTTCTTCTGGCCAAAGAGTCATTGTTTTTAAAAAATTAAAAAAAATTTTTTTTTCTGTGGTTTTTTAATTGTCTCCTCAGTTTTCTTTGATGATTTTTCCAAACTGCAACTTTTTGGAATGCACATAAAAAACTTTTAAATTCAGATATTAAAAAATACTATTTCAGGACTTCCCTGGTGGTCCAGTGGTTCAGACCCCATGCGGGTTTGATCCTTGGTCGGGGAGCTAAGATCCTGCAAGCCGCGCAGTGCAGTGCGGTCAAAAATATATATATATATTTTAAGTAAATGTCATTACCTTGTGCATTATTTGATTTCACAATTTTAGCTGACTGCTGACTACAGCTATATAAACACATTGCAGATGTACTTGAGTACTTCCACCAACGACAGACCAGTTTATGGTTTACCAGTTATGTAGAGAACTACATGTGAAAAATATAGTCTAATACTATTTAGTTCCCCCTTTGGGCTATCACTTTGAATCCAGGTTGATTCTGAACCAAGTGTGGGGCCTCCCATAGACACTAACAGGACCCTCTGGATGCTTATACTGGGAAGCATCCCATGGATAAACTCATGGTCTCAAATTCATTTCTTTGGGACGAAAATGGTGATTTATGGATCTGTTGAGAGAAGGGAAAAGGTGCCAAGGCTCAGGACTGAGAGTATTTACGGTGTGTCGGGCACTCTTCTGAGCACTTTTTGTATATTAATTAATTTAATCCTCTCAAAAACACCATGCTGAAGAAACTGAGGCACAAAAAGTTTGAGTAACTTACCTGAGGTCACTCACCTAGTAAGAGAGAGTAGGTACCTTGAAGAGTGGGTTTCATGACTTGAATTTCAAAGAAAAGGCAGAGTGGCACATGCAGGTGACTAATGTGCATTGGGCCTCTCCTTGAGCATCACTCTCCCCTAAGTAAACATCAGGTTTCCCTGATGTTTAGGCATTTTCCATCCCTTTAAAAGTTGAACATTTTGTTGTTAGTCTTCATGGTCATTAAAGATTCTGTGAGCCCCAAAATGAGAAATAACCAAGTAGTATGTTATCTAAAACTCAAAAGTCCAAGGGTCTCTCCATTAGGCCTTATTTTTCTGTAAAGCCCTTCTTTCTAAAATGCATACCTACAACATACTGTCTAATAGATGTTACACAGTGTCATTTGCATTTGAAAAGGATTTACTCATTCTTTTTTTCTTAGTTGGAAACAGTGGAACAGAAAATTCTGAATGTAATTTTTTTATTCCAGTACAAAAACTTTTACTCCAAAAAAGGAATAGGAAGTTTGTATAAACGTGACTAACTTGAAATGGAGAAGAAAGATGGTGTGCTCTATTTGTAGACATTGGTGTGGAGTTGTTTTTGCTGTTTTATTTAGTACTTAAATATTTATCTTGGATTTCCAAGTCATAATGTTTTTCCTCCCACTGACAGAAATTTATTTTACAGGTGTCTGGAGTGTTGGTTCAAAAACTAATATTTCTTTTTTCTTTTTTCTTTTTTTTTGGTACGCGGGCCTCTCACTGTTGTGGCCTCTCCCGTTGTGGAGCACAGGCTCCGGATACGCAGGCTCAGCGGCCATGGCTCATGGGCCCAGCCGCTCCGCGGCATGTGGGATCTTCCCGGACTGGGGCACGAACCCACGTCCCCTGCATCGGCAGGCGGACTCTCAACCACTGCGCCACCAGGGAAGCCCCAAAAACTAATTATTAACTTAGATAAGACTCAAGAAAGCATAGATAAAGTCGCCAGCAATATCAGAGTTTGGATTTTCAACTTAATTAAGTTATTAGCCAGATATAATATGTGTGAGCCCTGCTTCTGTGATACCGTGGTTTGATGTGTCCTAGTGAATTCTTAGTGCTTAGAGTTCAGTGTCAAGATTGCTCTTTTATAAAGTGAGGATAATAAGTATTAAAAATGAAACAAAATGGCCTTTTCAATGTTTTCTCCCGTGTGGAGGTGGTAGTTGTGCAGAACATACAGCTTTTAGAGTCAGTTAAACCTGTTATAAACCCCAATTCTACTACTCACTAAAGTGTAACCTTGGCAATTTAACCATTTAATTTCTTTATTTGAAAAATGAAGATAATGGATCCAATCTGTATTAATCAGGATTCTCCAGAAAAACAGAACCAATAAGATACATGTGTACTATTTACAATAGCCAGGACATGGAAGCAACCTAAGTGTCCATTGACAGATGAATGGGTAAAGAAGATGTGGCACATACATACAATGGAATATTACTCAGCCATAAAAAGAAACGAAACTGAGTTATTTGTAGTGAGGTGGACCCAGAGTCTGTCATACAGAGCGAAGTAAGTCAGAAAGAGAAAAACAAATACCGTATGCTAACACATATATATGGAATCTAAAAAAAAAAAAAGGTTCTGAAGAACCTAGGGGCAGGACAAGAATAGAAACACAGATGTAGAGAATGGACTTGAGGACACAGGGAGGGGGAAGGGTAACCTGGGACAAAGTGAGAGAGTGGCATTGACATATATACGCTACCAAATGTAAAATAGCTAGCTAGTGGGAAGCAGCCGCACAGCACAGGGAAATCAGCTCGGTGCTTTGTGTCCACCTAGAGGGGTGGGATAGGGAGGGTAGGAGGGAGACGCAAGAGGGAGAGGATATGGGGATGTATATATATACGTATAGCTGATTCACTTTGTTATACAGCAGAAACTAATACAACATTGTAAAGCAATTATACTCCAATAAAGATGTTAAAAAAAGTGTGTATATTAATATAGACATAGAGATTTATTATATGGAATTGGGTCATGTGATTATGGAGGCTGAGAAGTCCCAAGGTCTGCAGTCAGCAAGCTGGAGGCCCCGGAGAGCTGATATGTAGCTCCAGTCTGAGTCAAAAGGCCTGTGAACCAGCAGAGCCATTGGTGTAAATTTCATTCTGAAAGCTGGCAGGTTCAACATCCAAGAGGAGTTGATATTTCAGTCCAAGTCCACGGGCCAGAAAAGACCAATGTCAGCAGTCAGGCAGGAGTTCTCTCTTAATCAGCCGTTTTTGTTCTATTCGTGTCTTCAGTTGATTGGATGAGGCCCACCCACACTAGGGAGGGCAGTCTGCTTTACTCAGTTTACTGATTCAAGTGCTAATCTCATCCAGAAACCCTTACAGACACAGCCAGAATAATGTTTGGCCAAATGTCTGGGCACCCAGTGTCGCAGTCAAGTTGACACATAAAATTAATCGTAAGTTCACCCTTTGTCAACTTGACACCCATAGGCATGCCCTTTAACCATACTTAATTTCCAAATAAAGACGATAACAAAGGTCATAATTCCACCTAATATGATACAGCTATCCAGCGTACAACCCGAAAGACACTCAGCCCTTCCTCAGAAGAGGAGGTAAGGTCCTAGAGTCAGTTTCACTCTTCTTGATATTCTGTGCCTTAAATACTTTGATGTAGAATTGACAGTACTTAAATACTTATGACATAAAGTCAGTACATGTTGTGTCACATGATAAGGGGATAAGAGAGGGAAAAAATACGTATTTGTACCACACACACACGCATTCATAATAAAATAGGGAGAAAATACTTATGACAATTATAGTCCTAATTTCTGTAACTGGTCATGTGGTCAGAGTTGGTATTTATAACTACCTTCTGCTTCCCATTCTGTATTCTCTTTGTCTTCAGCAAGCACCTCAGCTGGTCGTGGTTCCTTACCTGGTAGAGTGACCCAAACCATCATTCCTGAAGCCATGAGTAGTCTCCTTGGATTGGCTTTTAGTTTTCCATTGACTTTAATCAGAGGGCATATTAATACTAAGAGATATCCTAAGGGATTTCCTGTATTCCATACATACACTCTTCCTTACTTCAGTGTGGAGCAGTAGTCCATGTGGTTGTTGTGAATATTAAATGAGCCATAGCAGGTACAAGAAAGTGTTAAAATCATGCCTGAAAAAGTAGAAGTGCTTAATCAATGTTCATTTTCTTTTTTCCTCCCCTAATGTATCTGCCAGTACCAGCCAAAGTTCCCATTTTTAAAGCAAATGTGTTTAAATAGGGGATTGCTAAGAAGAATGAGGAGTAGATTTTATGATACATCTTCAAATTTTTAGAGTGGTAATGTTTAGCTAAAATAGAATTTCTTTTTTTGAGCAACATTGTTTTAGATCTCTGTGTTCCCAGCACAGCAGTGTTCCCAAAAAGCTTGACGTCAGAAAGCCTTGTAATTGATGGAGTAGCCATGAGCCCTGGCTAGGGAAGGCCTAACTCCAGAGTCAAGGGTTTCAAAAAATAGTGTGTGATTTAAAAAAAATACTTAATGTTTTCATTGAAAACATTTTTTCAGTGCTTGCAGCCCCTTTATACACTAGGAGCAGAAGTGGGATGTTGGAGGAATGTTCCAAAATACCTTCTTTTACACCTGGAAATACATATTCAGTTCCTAAATTTCAGGTTATTTTGCTGTTAGATAAGCAGCATGAAACAAGACTTTTTCCAACTTTCTCCATTGAAGGGTCGAGTGGTGGAAAACATCTCAAAGCGATGCGGTGGATTCCTGAGGAAGCTCAGCTTGCGAGGTTGCATTGGCGTTGGAGATTCCTCCTTGAAGTAAGTCAGTCCACCGTGACTCACTCTATCGTGGCAGCTTGTAGCTGACATTTTCATCACAAAAATAAAGCAAGCATATTATTTGCTTTTCTTCTGTTAAAATCTTTCTATGGTAATTTGCATAGAGTAGTGAGAATATCATGATATTGGAGCCAACAGGCCTGACCTAGAAACCGAGCTCCAGTGTTGTCAGGTATGTGACCTTGGGGCAAACACTTTGTTGTCAGTTCTGTCTTCTGCAAAGAGAAGGCAGTTATAGCTCTTTCATGAGAATGTCCTGGGTATCACATGAAATAACACATATGTAGTACCTGGCACATAATCATATTATGATACTAGTTCACCTATCTTCCTTTCTTCACTTTCCCATCTTCCTAGGTTCCTTCTCATAATCGTGGCTACCTTCTTGTATAAATTATACTAATTAACAAAATAATTCTTTCAAAAAATTCCTTAGCATAACCTGGGATTTTGCTTAACCATCATGGGTTGTGATTATCACATTCATTTTATAATAGTTTATAATAGTTGGATATACCCTATGCAACCAAATGCTTGCCCACCTCTTACTGGATAGCCATTATTTATTGGAAATGTTATCACTCCACTGTTAAGGACATGTGCTTTGAGCTTTTCTGGAGACAGGACATAATTAATACCTTTATGTCTCTATCCTTGTGGCCTCTTGTATTGCTTGAGGTTGGCTAAATTAGGACACACACTGCCCCTAGAATCTTGGAACAGACTGCCTCTTGGAGACTTAAGCATACCACAGTATAATCAGTCACAGACCTCCAGTAAGAATGTGCAGTGTACAGTGATTTCAGACAGTAGAATTTGTAATTGAAACATCTGCACCATTGCTAAGAAAATCAATTCATAATATCAATATCTTTTAAGGATCAAAACATTCCCTCTGTGTTATGCAACACAGGGTTTTTTTTTTAATCAATTCAGGTCATCAGAATTTTCTGATACTTCAAAAGCTTTGTAAACCAGTGGAATAGATTGATTCTGCTTTAACAGGAAGCTTAAATGTACCGAATAGGTCCTAAGACGACTTGTAATAGAGAACATAAATCTAATAGTGGTTCCATTAAAGAAACTAAAATAAATGTGAAGATATGGATTGTCAGTGAGGAATATCAAAGAAACACATTCTCATCTTGGCACTTGGAATAGAGCCAAGATGAGGAATAAACTATCCTATAAAGTGAAACTATAACAAAACTATCCTGTTATTGGTTTACCGTAAATTTTAGAGCAGAAATCTATGTTAATATCTATATAAATTTTTAATATGTGAGGCCAGATTACCGTGAGAAATAATGATAAGCATAATCACAGAATCATGATTCAGAGACCCCCGGCAAGTGGGGGCTACTATTCGTTGCGGTGCACGGGCTTCTCACTGTAGTGGCTTCTCTTGTTGTGGAGCATGGGCTCTAGGAGCACGCGCTTCAGTAGTTGTGGCTTGCAGGCTCAGTAATTGTGGTGCACAGGCTTAGTTGCTCTGCGGCATGTGGGATCCGTGTCCCCTGCATTGGCAAGCAGATTCTTAACCACTGCGCCACCAGGGAAGCCCTCAATGCCTTTAAAAAAAAAATTTTATTGGCATATATTTGGTTTAAATATAGTGTTAGTTTCAGGTGTACAGCAAAGTGATTGAGTTATACATATATTCATTCTTTTTCAGATTCTTTACCCATATAGGTTATTATAGTAATGAGTAGAGTGTCCTGTGCTATATAGTAGGTCCTTGTTGGTTATCTATTTTATATATAGTAGTGTGTGTACGTTAATCCCAAGCTTCTAATTTATCCCTCCTCTCCACATTTCCCCTTTGGTATAACCATAACTTTGTTTTTGAAATCTGTGAATCTGTTTCTGTTTTGTAAATAAGTTCATGTATCAATTTTTTTGTTAGATTCCACATATGAGTGATACCATGTGATACTTGTCTTTGTCTGTCTTACTTCACTTAGTATGATAATCTCTAGCTCCATCCATGTTGCTGCAAATGGCTTATTTCATTCATTTTTATGGCTGAGTAATATTTCATTGTATGTATGTACTACATCTTCTTTATCCATTCCTCTGTCATTGGACATTTAGGTTGCTTCCGTGTCTTGGCTATTGTAAATAGTGCTGCCATGAACATTGGGGTCCATGTATCTTTTCTAATTATGGTTTTCTCCAGATATATGCCCAGGAGTGGGATTACTGGGTCATATGGTAGCTCTACTTTTAGTTTTTTAAGGAACCTCTATACTGTTCTTCATAGTGGTTGTACCAGTTTACATTCCCACCAACAGTGTAGGAGGGTTCCCTTTTCTCCATACCCTCTCCAGCATTCCTTGTTTGTAGACTTTTTTATTATGGCCATTCTGACCACTGTGAGGTGATACCTCGTTGAGGTTTTGATCTGCATTTCTCTAATAATAAGTGATGTGAGCATCTTTCCATGTGGTTTTTGGCCATGTATATGTCTTCTTTGGAGAAACGTCTATTTAAGTCTTTTGCGAATTTTTTGATTGTAATGTTTGTTTGTTTGTTTTTTGTTTTGTTTTGGTTTTTTTTTTATGGTAGGTGGTCCTCTCACTGTTATGGCCTCTCCTGTTGTGGAGCAACAGGCTCCGGACGTGCAGGCTCAGCGGCCATGGCTCACGGGCCCAGCCGCTTCGCGGCACGTGGGATCTTCCCAGACTGGGGCACGAACCCGTGTCCCCTGCATCAGCAGGCGGACTCTCAACCACTGCGCCAGCAGGGAAACCCTGCTTTTACTTCTTTTGCTTTTGGAAAATTATCTGAGAAAGTATTGCTACAGTTTATGTCAGAGAATGTTTTGCCTATGCTCTTTTCTAGGAATTTTATGGTGTCATGTCTTATATTTAAGTCTTTAAGCCATTTTGAGTTTATTTTTATGCATGGTGTGAGGGAGTGTTCTAACTTCACTGATTTACATGCAGCTGTCCAGCTTCCCAACACCACTTGCTGAAGAGAGTGTCTTTTCCCCATTGTATATTCTTGCCTCCTTTGTCGTAGATTAATTGACTGTGGGTATGTGGGTTTACTTTTGGGCTCTCTATTCTGTTCCAGTGATCTCTATGTCTGTTTTTGTGCCAGTACCACACTGTTTTGATTGCTGTATCTCTGTACTATAGCCTGAAGTCTGGAAGGGTTATGCTTCTGCTTCCAGCATTGTTCTTTTTCCTCAGGATTGCTTTGGCAATTCTGGGTCTTTTGTGGTTCCATATAATTTTTAGGATTATTCTAGTTCTGTGAAAAATGTCATGGGTATTTTGATAGGGATTGCATTAAATCTGTAGATTGCTTTGGGTAGTATGGCCATTTTAACAGTATTAATTCTTCCAATCCAAGAGCATGGGATATCTTTCCATTTCTTTGAATTATCTTCAGTTTCCTTTATTAATGTTTTATAGTTTTCAGCATATAGGTTTTTCACCTTCTTGGCCAAGTTTATTCCTAGGTTTTTTTTTTTGATGCAGTTTTAAGTGGAATTTTTTTAGTTTACTTTCTCTTTTTGGTATTTCATTGTTAGTGTAAAGAAATGCAGCAGATTTCTGTATATTTATCTTGTATCCTGCTACCTTGCTGAATTCATTTATTAGTTCTAATAGTTTTTATGTGGCGACTTTAAGCTTCTCTACATAGAGCATCATGTCATCTGCAAATAGTGACGGTTTTACCTCTTCCACTCCAATTTGGATACCTTTTGTTTCTTGTCTGGTTGCTGTGGCTAGGACTTCCAATACTATGTTGAGTAGAAGTGAGAGTGGGCATCCTTGTCTTGTTCCTGAATTTAGCAAGAAGTCTTTCAGCTTTTCACCATTGAGTATTATGTTGGCTGTGGGTTTGTCATAAATGGTCTTTATTTTGTTGAGATACGTTCCCTGTATACCCACTTTGGTAAGAGTGTTTTATCATGAACGATGCTGAATTTCGCCAAATGCTTTTTCTGCATCTTTTGAGATGATCATGTGGCTTTTGTCTTTTGTTGATGTGGTGTATCACGTTAATTGATTTGCATATGTTGAACCATCCTTGTAACTCTGGAATGAATCCAACTTGATCATGGTATATAATCCTTTTTATGTGTTGTTGGATTTGTTTCGCTAATATCTTGTTGAGGATTTTTGCATCTATATTCATCAAAGATACTGGCCTGTAATTTTCTTGCGTAGTGTCTTTGTCTGGTTTTAGTATCAGGGTGATGGTGACTGCATAGAATGACTTTGGGAGTGTTCTCTTCTGTCTTTTGGAAGAGTTTGAGAAGGATCAGCCTAAGTTCTTCTTTGTATGTTTGGTAGAGTTCCCCAGTGAAGCCATCCAGTCCTGGCCTTTAGTTTACAGGGAGGTTTTGTTGTTGTTGTTGTTTTAAGTTACAGATTCTATTTCATTTCTAGTGATTGGTCTGTTCAAATTATCTGTCTCTTGACTCAGTTTTGACAGGCTGCATGTTTTAAGAAACTTGTCCATTTCTTCTAGGTTGTTGAATTTGTTGGCATCTAACTGTTCATAGTATTCTCTTATGATTTTTTATATTTATGTGGTATCAGTTGTTATTTCTCCTCTTTCATTTCTTATTTTGTTTATTTGGGTCCACTCTTTTTCTTCTTGGTGACTGGCTAGAGTTTTATTGATTTTTAAAAAATCTCAAAAAACCAGCTCTTGGTTTTATTGATCTTTTCTATTTCTTTAAAAAAAATTTTTTTTCCCTTGTGATGAGGATGCTTTTTAAAAAATTTTATTTATATTTATTTTGGCTGTGCTGGGTCTTAGTTGTGGCATGCGGGACCTTAGTTGTGGCATGCGGACTCCTAGTTGTGGCATGCGGACTCTTAGTTGCGGCATGCATGTGGGATCTAGTTCCCCATCCAGGGATCAAACCCAGGCCCCCTGCACTGGGAGTGTGGAGTCTTAACCACTGGACCACCAGGGACGTCCCTGATCTTTTCCATTTCTTAAAAAATCTGTAT